GCCTCTGGAGTAACAGTCTTTTGGGTATATCCCCAAGAGTGGTATTGCTGGATCAAATGGTAGATCGATGTCCAGCTTTTTAAGTAGCCTCCAAATGTAATTTGTTTCTTATTTATAATTTTTTCTTAGGTTAATTTTTTCCTTTAATTAAAAAAATTATTTTCAAAGATATAGAAAAGGAAAAAATAATAAAGTAACAGCCTTTTGTATATACACTACTAAGGGTAAACAGATGAAATTTTGCCATATTTGCAGGCAAATATGGTCTTTTTTAAAAGAGCTATTTGCAACTGCAGTGTCATATATTTAGCACAGGGTCTGGGAGACACACAAACACGTCAGCATTTGTTATTAGCAAGATACATGGTTGCTACTGTTATTTTGCCGTTAAATAAAATAATATGTAAAAATACCTGGCACAGTAGCTACTGGTTCCTCATGTTTTTCCCTCGTAAACACCCAGGCTTATTCATTGCCCTTCTCCATATCGTGCCTTGGGAGGTGTCAGAGCGTGGAAATAATACCGCTTGCCCATCAGTACGTGATGTGCATTCATACAGGCTGGGAATCAAGAGAGGGTAGTTGATTATTCTGTGGGGTACAGGATGGGGGAGGTAGGACATGAGGAGTAGCACTGCTTTTCCAGTTGGTTTTAAATTCTGTTCCTAATAGTTTACTCCTGAGCATCTCCCATGTGATAGGTATTTGCCATCCCTTATGTGAATTATCTCTTATTTAATGAGTGAAGGATCTAAATTAATCCTTATATGCCCTGAGGTATTTTTTATCCCCATTATGTAGATGAGGACACTTGAGGCTAAATGTTTAATGACTTTCTGAATTTATTTCCCTCTGACTATATCCCCTTAAGTTATCTCCTCATGACCTAAGAGTCAACATTCCCCATAGGGTCTGCCTAATCTCCAAATTCATGTACTTTTCTCTCTACCAAACAAATCAACACAATAAGAAAAATACCCCAAATGAACTAATTTTAATTAAAGTGACTAGAAAAAGTAAAAATAGAAGCAAATAAGGGACCTGTGTAGCTATGAGATGTTCTATACCATATTCGTCCATATTTAAAGGAGGCTGATCCTAAAGTATTGTCTTAGTCTTACTTCATAGGCTCTTATTCCTCAATATAGGTTCAGAAGCACTATCCTAAAACGGAAGGATGGGAAAGGAAGGGAAGACATTAAGAGAGAAAATGCATGACAGTTGGTAGGTTTCAGCTGGTTTCAGTGTGGACTTTCAATGCTCGGGCAATGGTCAAGGAACACATACCTAGAAGGGAAATGCAAGGTTTGGGTGCAGTATACTCACAGCTTTGTTGGTGTTCTCTTACTTTGTTCATTGAAATTATAGCTCAAGTTGCACCAAACGTTGTCCTTGGAATTCATAATTGTCCCCATGAACTAGAAGGAAAAAAGTATGTACATCCTCATTTCTCTTTTCTCATTTCTGCTAGGAGATTCCCGTCGAAATGTCATCATGTGGCTGGACCACCGAGCTGTCAGTCAGGTCCACAGGATCAATGAGACCAAGCATAGTGTCCTCCAGTATGTGGGGGGCGTCATGTCTGTGGAGATGCAGGCCCCAAAACTCCTGTGGCTGAAAGAGGTGAGTACATAGAGGTGAGGGGAGGGCACTAAGGTTTCCATTCATGTGGAATTATAATTCCCTGCTAAGTCTCCAGGGTTTGATTTTTCCTGGCAACTCTCACAGGAAGGTTGATGCCATTGTATTATGGGTTTCAGCTAAATCACTCTTATTTTCAGAAACATAACTGATGTATTAAGTATTTTGCATATTGTTTCTTTAAATCCTAACAACCTACAAAGTAGGTTGTTTCTTTTTTTTTTTTTCCGTCTCTCCTTCCCTTCCATTCTTCTTCCCTCCCTCCTTCCTCCCCTCCTTCCTTTCCTTCTTTCCTTCCACAGGATCTCACTATATAGCCCAGGCTGACTTTGTACTTATGATTTTGCCTCAACCTCCTTATTGCTGGGATTACAGATGTGTACCAGTACACTTAGTCTCCTTTTTCTTTTTTTGAGGGGTAGTGTCTGTTTATATGGGGGAACTAATTCACCCAAAGTGACACAATAAGTATGTAAGAGAGCAGAGGTTTGAACCTAAAACTAACTGCCTCCAAAATCAATTCTCTTAATGTCTAGCACTCACTGTGAAGTTCAGAGGGGTTAATTACCATTCCAATTAGAAAGTGGCAGAACTGGGATTTAAGTCCATATCTTCTGACCAGTCTTCTTTTTCTGTACATGTTAGCCCCCAGATTATTCATCTTTGGCCTTGTTGACATTTTAGGTATCTCTTTCTCATTTCACCTGCCGTTGAGTTTCCATATCCTTGAGTGATATGGTCATTGCTGGTCAAAGCTCTTGGAGGTGGTTTCCATTTCCAGATGTTAGGACTCCTTTATGAAGTGTGGAGAATAGTGATGTCAGCTTAATGGTTCCCATTAGAGATGGGTGTGTGAGAAAGTTCAAGTCCTCAAGGACTTGAAAACCCCTAGGTGGTCTGGCGAATAGGGAATGCATCTAATGAGCCTGACCTGGCATTATTCATTTACTGGTTCCCAGGTTTTGGGTGGGCTGAGTCATCAGTTATTCAGACTGTGTATAGAGGTGGGTAATTTAGGCGTGCTTTCGAAGGTGCTCCAGGATTTTCACCATGGGGAAGAGGGCTTCATTAATCAAAATAGGTTGGCTTGTTATTTGTCTTAATCTGCAGAAAGGCTTCTGTGGTTACTAAGAGTTTAAAAACAATTTCAAGAAAAAGGGTTTCAGAATCCAGTTCTGACTCTGGTATAAATAATTGTGTTTGTTTTGTTTTTTGCTAGCCTATACAAAAATTCCTGCTAAGAATACTTTTGGTGTTAGTATGATTGCAAATTCAAAATTAAGGAAATTTATTTCTAAAATCAGTTTTAGCATCTTCTCCTTAAAACCTGAATGGGATGGTTGATAGTTCTTCCTGAACTATAATAGGTAAATGAATCACCTAGAGATCTTGTTAAAATGCACATTCAGTAGCCCTGGGACGGGGACTGAAAATTTGAGAGTTCTCATTTCTAGCAGTTCCCAGGTGATGCTCATATTGCCAGCCCAATGATTTGTAAGACCACTTTTAATTCTATTCTCCATCTCTGTGCCCTGGAGAAAAGCAAGCACTTATGGGGAGCCAGGGGAGGGTACCTTCTTTAGATGTGTTGATAGGAGACACAGGGAAGCTAGATAGCTGTAGTAGAGCTGTTCACATACACACTCAAAATAAGAACAAGTTTCTGTGTTTTAAGTCCATAGAGCTGTCATTTGTTTACTCTTTTTGTTCCTCAATTTCCACATCCTAATTGAGCTCCTGCTATGAACCAGCACCAGCAACTGTGATAAGCAGCAGGGGCATGGGGACAAAAAGGACTAAGGCTTACCCTAGATAGGGTTTATTTTAATAAAGTTTTATTGGAACATAGTCACTCTCATTCATTTCTGTGTTGTCTATGGCTGCCTTTGTATTACAGTGACAGAGCTGAATAGTTGAGACAGAAAATATCTACTGTCTGGATTTGTAGAGAAAGTTTGCTGACCTTTGGTCTTGATGATGGTCTTCCTTTTGCCCAGAATATTATTTTTTCTACTCAACCATTGATTCTTCCTCATCATTTAGGCCTTAACTTCATTAATGCCTCCTTAGAAAAGTCTTTTCTGACCCTTAAATATATCAGGAGTCTCATCACATTGCACTCTTAATTTTACTTAATTTTATCTTTCATGTTTTGTGATGATACATCAATCTGTATAATGATTTGTACATTTGGACATTTGCCACCTCCAACCATTGTAATCTATAGGTAGATGGAGACATCAATTTTGTTCCTTGATATTTCTCTAATATCAACCATTTGATCATCCTAATCAAATGGTTGGCCCATGGTAGCTGCTCAACACATAGTTTTTGAATAATTTGAGTGACCTGCTCAGGGGGCTGATGCAGTACTCCAGGTGAGAGCTAATGAGACCCGAATCAAGCACTAGAGAATGGAGAGAAGTCTCAGAAATATCCAGGGAATAAAATCAGTACCACTGAGACTGATTGGCAGTGAGGGGTGAAGCAAGCGGAGGTGTTGGAGCTGACTACTCTTTTCAGTATTGCTGTCATTCAGGTGCTCTTTGTCCTCAGTCTGGAATCCCATGTCTGAGGGAGCTGGGCAGAGTTTGGAGTTCATACCAAGAGACGGAAGAGATGTATTAGGACCACTGTAGCTCTTGGGCAAAGTCATTTGGGTCTAGTCTTGCAATATGAAGTTTTAAGCATGTCCTTTACATTTAAGGTTTATGTGTTTTAGGTTGACACATGTCTCCTTAATAAGAATTGTCAGATAAAAGGAAAAAATGCCATTTGAATTTTTTATAACCCCCAGCAGTCTGGCTTTTCCATTTGGTCTGAATGATTCTGACTCTCATCTTAATGAAGGCCAAATGTAAATTAAGTTCTGTCAGGCTGGAGCAGCTGGAGTTGCCTATCTTTATAAACTTGAAACATTGTAGGGTAACGAGGTACATACTGGGGAAGGTCAGGAAAGTTAACAGGCTGATGTCAATTCTGACAGGTCAATGTTAATGGAAGATAATTCAGAGGGCTTGTAGGGGCTGCAGAGAGATATTCTGATTTGACTTTTAACTCATTTCCTCTTTTTGCCATTGTCAGCAGAGAAGAAAATGAATCATATCTTCCCTCCCACCTTCTCATCCATGCTCCCTCCCCAACTTCTGTTTGCCTGATAACATACTGGGAAGTGAGTGTAAGATTCTATTGTATCTTTCCTTGTGTATGTAGTCTTTGAAGGACCCTGGGAGGTAGGAAGTCTAGGGAGGTAGTCTAATAACTTCCTGCCAGCTGTGGAGGGTGTTACTTGAATGTTTTGCAGTAGAAAACATTGAAAGTCCTGCTGGGCATCAGAAAAGCCTGGCTCTTCTAGTCCTTTCTGTAAAATAAAAAGTTTTCCCAGCTCAGTTTTAATGCCTCGTTTGATCTTACATGTTTATTGTTCTTGATGATATAATACTGTGATTTATAAATCTAAGATTTATTTCAGTCTTGAAATTTTATAAAAGTAAACAATTTAAGTTCTTTTCTTTGAAATGTTATTTAAAAATGTAAGTATGGTAGAAATTATTGTCTTTCTTGATTAGTGTATAGTTCTAATATTATTCACCTTTGTTCAAGCACTACAACTTTAGGAAATATAATGCAGTTCTATAACAACTTCAAAAAATGTAAAGGATGCACCACATTTAAATCTTCCTCTGCTACTCACCAGTTGTGGGATCTTGGACCTGGTAAACCAACTTCTCTGAGTCTCATTGTGCTGAACTATAAAATAAATATGATAATATTAGCCTGTGGAATTATTGTAATTTAGTAACGTATGTATTTTTAAAGTGTTTTATGTATGGATATGCAGATAGCACTGTAATTTTCACTGCCATTGTATTTAAAAATGTTTTATTTATTTTTTGCCTTTTTAAGTCAATTTATTTAGGTTAGTAAAATGCACTCAAAGCCATTGCCACTGTAATGTGTCAGAACATTCTTCATTGAAGTCTTTAGCTGGGGGTGTAGCTCACTAGTAGAGTGCTTCCTAGCACTCTCTTCTTAGGTCCTGTATGTAATTTCACAGTACCACTAAAAAAAAGAAAAGAAAAAAGTCAAAATGATATTCCACTACAGGTACATGTTACACTTTGTTCATCCATTCATTCATTAGTTGATGAACACTTGAGTTGTTTCCCTCTTTCAGCTATTGTGAGTGGGTTAACAGCTCTGTCTTCCAGTTCCTGCTTCTCCTTCTTTTGGCTGTAAGTCCAGTAGTGGCGTTGCCAGATCATTTGATGCTTCTATGTTAAATTTTTTAAAGGCCTACCATACTGTTTTTACAGCAGCTGCACCATTTTATATTTTCACCAACATGGAACAAGAGTTCCAACTTTTCCATATCCTCATCAATGTTGATTGTTTTTTGTTGTTTTTATACTAGCCATCCTAATTCACTTGAGGGATATCTCATTGTGGCTCTGATTTTGCTCCTAATAATTAATAATGCTGAGCATCTTTTCCTATCCTTTCTAGCCATTTATTTGTATATTTTCCTTGTGGAAAAGTCTATTCAAGTCCTTCACTTATTTTTTAATTGGATTATTTGTTTCTTTTTGTAGTTGTCGAATTGTTTGTATATTCTGTATATTAATCCTGTATCACATATGATTTTCAGATGTTTTCTCTTACTCTGTAGGCTACTTTTTAGTCTATTGATTATGTCCTTTAATGAACATAAGGTTTTGATTTTGATGAAGTCCACTTTATCTAATTTTTCTTTCATTGCTTGTGCTTTTGGTATCATTTCCATGAGTCATTGCCAATTCCAATCTCATGGAGCTTCTCTTCTATATTGTCTTCTGAGAGTAAAGTTTTAGGTCTTATGTTTAGGTCTATGATAAATTTTGGATTAATTTTTGTATTTGGGCTGCAATTAATTCTTTTGAATGTGAATAGAAACATTTGTTGAAAAGACTGTCCTTTTCCCATTGAAAGGTCTGAGTGCCCTC